TCCATTGTTGCACGTTCACCGTGTTTACCGAGCGTTGCCTAGAAACTCATTCAGCAAATCCGTTACAGTATTAAAATGAATCAAGAAGGCAAAGGATTCTTACTGCGGGTTGGACTCAGCTGAACCACGGTAGTGTCCAGGGGCTCTTGTGAACACAGCAGCAAACTTGCATGTTCAATAATTTCGAAAGAGAACGGTATCAAAATTACTTATGAAGGTAGCTACGTGCCCAACAGAGAAAACGCCACCCAGAACGAGAAGGATGTAGACTACAGAAATGCATATTGATGTTCCGGACACGGTAGGAATTCTTGAGGCAAACCTAAAACCTGCGGCGATTTTTGTGATTATAATGACCGTCATTCCGCCCCCTTGGTGCTCCTGCTAGGCGGAGACTTCCATGAAGAGGATGCCTTTGGTGGTCACCCCATAAACCACACGCCTGTTAATATATAAATTTGGTTGTACTCTTCAGTTTGCACGCGGTAGCGTAGTTGGTTGAGACACTGTGCTACAAGCCGGAAGGTAGCGGTTCGATTCCTCATGAAGTCATTTGATTTCTCAATTGACCTAATCCTTCCAGTCACTTTTTGGCCCGGAGTCGATTCAGCCTCTAACAGAAATGATTATCAGAAATTTTCCTGGGGGTAAAGGACGGCCGGCGCCTAAGGCTGACAAACTCACCGCCATCTGTGAGCCGAATATCCAGAGAATTGGGAGCCTCGGCTTCTAACAACCCAATGGGGTTCCACAACCTGTTACAGGGAGAGATTTGCTTAACTTTACAACCACCTGTGAGCCAATTGTCTAGAAAATGCGGAAGCCTCTACGTGTGCCATGGACCTCCACAGTCTGTTACAGGGATAGATTTTCTTAACCTCACCGCCAACTGTGAGCCGATTGTCTAGAAGATATGAGAACCTCGACGTGTCACATCTCCACGGCCTGTTACAGGGACAGATTTACTTTTTTACCTAAACGTTCAGTTTTCCTTACACGTATTACACACAAAAAAGTACGTATTTTGGTGATGAAAATAATGGGTCTTGAGATATTTATGGTTTAAGCGTTTCAAAACTTCCTGACTCTCAAGAAATGGATTTTCCAACGCCGTTTCTCTGCCTACATAATTTTCCTTTCACTATGGACAAAATGGATGAACAGTTTTTTTTATGTTCGATATTTAATGGTTCATTAGTGGGCACACGGTAGCTTAGGTGGTAAAGACATTATGCTGCAAGCTGGTAGGTCGCGGATTCGAGTTCCAGTGAGGTTAATTTTTCAATTTATCTAATTCTTCCAGCCGCACTATGGTCCTGGGGTCGACTCGGCCTCTAACAGAAATGAGTACCAGGAATCTTTCTGGGGATAAAGTGCGGCCGGTGCGTAAGGCTGACCATTTACCGCCATCTCTTAGCCAATTGTCTAGAGAATATGTGGGAACCTCGACGTCTCACAACTCTATGAGCCTTCACGGCCTGTTACCTTTAAGAATTCATCCATCATTTTTCGGTGCCCATTGAATTTAAACATTCAAGCTCTGTAAGTGTGAGCTCTTCAGAGAAGTTCTAGAAAACATAATGACAATTTTCTTTAAAATGGCTATGACGATTTCAGTTAAATTCTAGGAATTTATAAAGACTACCTCGATAAATAAAACTGCAAGACTGATATCCTCTATAAATTAATGGTTCTCGCACTAGGGGCTGATACACTGAGTGTCAGTCTTCTCAGAAGAACGTGATTCTAAATTTGATTAAAATTTTAACGTCAGTAGATGCAATGGATTCAGATGCAGTTGTGTGACTAAACTATCCTAACCCTAATTGACTATTTCAGTGTAGCAGAATTCTATGATGCATTAAGCCTATGTAAGAAATGATTTGCAATATATTTTCACACTTTTTCATAAATTGACGCGTTTTATTTTTGTATTTTATAGATATAATATACAGTTTCGTTGTATCTTAAACAAAGGCTAGCTCCGAAATAGAGCGAGTTGTAAGTTCCATTTTCTTATTTTATGAAATATAAACTGAGGTTCAATGGGTCAATATTTCTGAGCGAGAAGTTTAGTGTGGCTAACATTAATTTCCTACCGTCAGTAACACGAATATTGCGGATTTACATACACATGAGAGGGGCCCAAGCACAGCAGCATTTGTCAATGCCGTGTGGACAGCAGCGTGTGTAGGAGGGCTTCACCCAGGGAGCAGATGTTCCCTCAACTTCTTCCTTGGGAGATATGAGTTTGGACCTGGCTGTTTCTATGGGCTGAATAATGTTTTATTGGGGGAGCTTCCCAGCAGCAAGTTGAGCGCACAACTTTGCAACTTCACACAGAGCAGAGCCCACGGGGAGAAGCAACTTGCTCCGATGGGCTGCAACTTCTTACTTGAGCTCAAGTGTAGTTTGTTTCAGAAAACCATTTGGTGAATCACGTGATAGTGAGGTAAGCATGAAGTGATACGAGTTATAGTTTAGTGACAAAGTTAATGGCGACATTTTAAGAAAGAAGTCCATTTTACATCAAGTGATTAGATGCTCATCTACCGCACCTAACACCCTGCTGAACAGCACTGTCGCCTGAATTTTAACGCCATGTACTTCGGTGAGAGCCTGACATATCGGAGGAAAAGCAACCTCCAAACTTAGATTCAAAGAGTAAGCCAAGCAATAACAGGCCTCACCATAGCTCAAGCGGTTAGCCGCTGGCTTCACACCGCGGCGGCCCGGGTTCGATCCCGGGTCTGGTCAAGTGGGATTTGTGGTGGACAAAGTGGCGCTGGGGCGGGTTTTCTCCGAGTACTTCGGTTTCCCTTGCCAATCTTCATTCCACCAAATTCTCCATCATCATAATCATTCGGGACAGGCTACAATAGGCCAATCAGTGGCCGCCGTGCCGAGTGGACCCAGTTGGACTCAACTCCCCATTAAGTGAACTAAAAAAGTCAAGCAAGATACTATCAGAAGCGGGCGACAAGCTGCGTCTCATCGGAGAAAGTGTGANTTTGGATCATCTTCAGAGGCACCAAACACTTTTTAGAAACCACTATCACAGCAGTTGTCATATCAAATACACATATAATGTCCAAGTACACAATGTTCCATCTATCACTCACAGCAGCCTTTCTGGTTATAGAAATATTTTGTTTTAAAGCTTTAAAACTTTGTTAAAAATTGAAAATCATAAACCATATGGTTCGTGTCAATAACCTCTGTCGTCTCTCTTCAAGGTGGCCGATGTTGTGCCTCCTATGTAACTTGATTAGGGAGATTCTTAATATTGTCCGTTATGATTTCTTGGCCCGCTGTGCTGTGTATACACAACACCGAGAGAAACCACGAAGAACCTACGTCAGGACAGTTGGCAACCCTGCCGAGATTCGAACAGAAATCTTCCGGAATAGAAATCACAAGCTTTAATGCTACACCAACATATTCAGTCCTGTGACGTGGTTACTGCGGCCCCCTTCGTCTTGTTGCGTGAAGCTATTACGTGTAGTAATGTTTTAATTTGCATTCGTGGAGTTTTGCTTCTAGGGCTTAATGGGAAATGTTTAAAAATATATAAAAATCTGATAGCATTAAGCGCATTTGACGTTCTTACAGCAGTGACTATGACCAGCATTGCCTTCTGGGACGTAAAGTCGTTTATTCCACTTGAATTTCGACTTAATTTTTTTCTTTCTTGGTCGATTCTTGGTAAGTTGGATTTACGACTCGAATGATTGAATCAATACACACCTCTGAAACGTCGGTGAAATTCTGTCGGTCAACATGGCATTACGTTCCTGAAAACAGTACTTTTTTGCATTTGAACTATTTAAGTTTGTGTGCAAAGTATACGTTTTACACTATTTATGAAACGCGCATATATGTGACCCACTACACAAGTTTCACTTGCGCCGCCGAACTGGCATATTCCAATGCATGATTTATGATTCGAAATTAAATTAAGTCTTCCTAGGAATACACAACTCTGGGGCGAAACTGCTCTAAGCAAACTCTTTACATAGTAACTGCATAATCCAATTACATGTTCTGAAATAATGTGCGCATCTGCACAAGCATGTGTCAGTTTCGAAATTATAAAATATTCATGCAAATTTGCCCTATATCAAGTTCATGTGTTTCAGTATATCACGCCGTCGTGCCGCCGTTAAGAAAGTTGAATATTCACTTAACTAATCTTCAACTTGGCCTGCCATTTTCCAAGGAATTCGCAGAATCACAAATTGGAGACACTGTATATGGTGAATATGCACGTACAGTGGATGAATATTATCAGGACATATAAACCGTGTAAGACTTTGTGTCATATGATGACTTTTACTTCAGTAAAGGGGACGGTTTATACCTGGGAACTAGATGAATACAGAAGGGAGAGTCAGTGAGCAAGTCACAAATGGAAGTAAAACAGCTGCAATGGATGTAATAGGTTTCCTATGTATATCACTAGGTAGCAGCACAGTCCATCTTCATGACAGTCTCGGTGGCAGACACGCATGCGCATGTTCATTTGCTTGTTTCAGTAGTCAAATGACGATCGTGCTTGAGGAGTGTACTACCGAAGAGCAGCGTTTTGTTGTTCGTTTCTTTTGTGGACAAAAAAACTCGATGCAAAATATATCCGTAAAGAAATGTTTCCTATTTACGGTGGGAAGTGTATGTCGCGTGAAGCGGTTCACCTCGATGATGACGAAGTTTGAAACGGAGGAGCCGAAGTGGCCGAGACAACAGTCAAGAGACATGTGTGCTGCGGGTTTCGGTGCACTGGTAAAGCGGTGGGACAAGTGTATCAATGTTGCTGGAGGATAGGTCGAGAAATAAATGTTTTTTTTACAGGTTCTGATATGACATGTTTTACGTTGTATATCTATTTGTGATATATTTAATGACTCTGCCTCATATATTCAAGTAGGAGAAGGTACAAAATGGTCGCAAGAGAAAGTCTCATGCATGCCTCAGAAACAGTAAAATATACCATATGTTTGCAGATCTTTAAAGTCGACCCGAACAGGAGAAGAATAATTCCGATTGGTGTACCAGAACACGCGTCAAACGAACACCGCACAGGGCTCCTTTCGATTTCCCGAAACCCATGCAAAGGTAAGCCTCCACAAAGTTAAATTTAATGAATGAATTTAATATGTTACTTTTTGCAGGTTCTAAGATTGTTGTGTTCCATTACGAGTCAGAAACAAAAATGCAGAAACTTAGATTCGTCGAAAATTCGCAAAATTAATACCACCCAAATCATTTAGAATAGCTCTACATTCGTATTAGTGTCGCAAAAAGTGAGTAATATTTTATTTTGAAAAAAAAACTACAACGTGAGTCTGAATTGTTGTCGGGGTTTTCGTGGCATATAGTTTTCAGACTGGAAATAACAGAATACAAATGCTCATGGGATATGAAAGTGAACTCAATAATTTTAATTGGTAATGGTATACTCGCAGCATTGATGTCTGGGAGAAAATACGACGTCATACCTCAAGGTGGCGATTGTATTATTTGCTGTTTCCGGTTTGAAAACATAGGCCACGGAAACACTAACAATAATGTAACGTATATAGCTATTCAATGGCGCGATAAACACCTTCTCGCTGAAGCTCACGTAACAATAGGACTAACGTTTATTGCTCGTTGCTAGGAATCAGTCAGCGCGCTAGTGTACTGACGAGATTGCTATCACGTGATTCGTTTTCAATGTGGTCCGCGCCATACCCAGTCTTAAGCATCAGAAATGTAAACGCGTCTACGATAATAGGTGTTTTCATGGAGTCCGTGCCGACAGTTTATAAGTGACAGCGAAGGTCATTTGCAGTCAGTCGTAGCTGAGAAGCCGTGAGTCAAGGACTCGAAGCCGCCGAAGAAAGAAATTTTGAGGATTCAGCTGTGAAGTGTTAATAGATCTCGAAGGCCTTATGTGCTATAGTTAAAGTGAAGGCGTAAGAGCTAATTGTAGTTACGACTAGTTAAGATCCAATAAAGAGATGCACCAATTCAAACCTACGTCTTAGTCACTGAGACACGTGACAGTACATTGAAGACCTGAGAAGTACATGTAGAAATTTAGTTGACAAACCCAAAATAGAGAGACCGCTTCGGATACATAGGAGTCTGTGAGATGGCGGCATTAGAATCAAAATATTTGAAGGGGGCGGGGGTTCACTGCGGTAACTGTGAAGAATATTGTCTCCTGGGGTATGATGCCGTGGAATCTCGTAAACATTTTATAACCTTATGAAGAAATTTATTCTATATTCTTCTCTGAAGTTATAGGTGATTCTTAATGGTCAACAAATATCTAACAGAATACACCTCGTCCCATCCAAGGAAACAGTAGTTTGTAAAAAATTTGTATTTATTGGATTTTATGTGTAAATGTAACTTACTTGAATTGCCTCACGTTAGAATTTGGATTGAATTCTTAAACGCGGGACACTGAACCTGTGGGTTTCATAAAACATATGCTAGGGAACACCTAGGTAAACACGTTCCCGCGACGAAAAATTCATGGCCAAAAATAGACAAATTGCTTTCCATTGCTAGGCAGCGAGCAGCAAACGAGCTTCGTCAACAATAGAGGACGTGTTTTCTACATGGCCCGTGGCGCCCCAGACGGGGCTCCACAGCAAAACTGACTGACCGACCGACCGTCAGTCGCAATGTGGCTTTGACTTTGACTAACCAAGACAGTGACAGAATTCCGAGTTCTCGGCGGAAGATAACCACGGAATGTTCGTCGAGGAAGGATAATAATACTTGATGTGTAATTAGAAAGCTTCATTAATGTGTAATACTTGGAGTGTGTGATTCAGTGAAACTGTTTAGTTCCTGCGTTTAAGTTGCGGTACCATGAGAGGACCAGTATTTGTGTAAATCAACGATAACGCTGTATTTAAATGTGATTAAGAGAGATTTTAACCGAAGTGCCAATAAATTCAATCGTCCGAACTAGAAACCCTCATTTTCGTCGCGCGTAGCACCCTAAACTTGAAAATATTTTAGACTGTAGACACGTTACTGGGCAACCATCTCGAGATAAGTAAATATAGAAGAACCGTTATTGAGTAACGGCTTCGCAAACAAACCACAAAAATGAAAAGCGGTGTTTTCTGTGAGGTCCGTATCCAGATGATATCAGTGAGACAAGTTGGGAGCTGTAGTTAGTTGAGTTCAGTCAATCAGAAAACTTGGAAGTTGATGTGGGATTACTGCTAGCCTGGGAGTCAATTGTGGGATATTCGCCAGCCGGTAGGGACGTAAGAAGAGGACATTGTTGGGATCCGTTACCAGGACACGTCTAGTAAAAACAAATTGAAAAATTTAGTATGTGCTGTAGTGAGAAGACGAGCGCATGAATTAGCGAGATCGTTATAATTACTTGTATTTACAATCCTAAGTTGTCAATAAATTCAGTCACTAATGCAAACCCCGTCTATAGCCACTCAGACATTTGAGAATATATAACTCCTTGACTAACTGAGCAAAGGACTTTAGCCCATAAAATAAAACTTTTTAAAAATACCCCGGCAGAGAAATTTACGAATTGTGGATTTAACTCCATGTACTATGGGATTGTGAATACGTCATTTTCAGTTCATCGTATAGACATCATGTGGTGATTAAGCAAGTCACAACAAACTTCCGATATCCATGCTACGGTGGGAACTTCAACCACACTTTCGCAGGATTTTCATGCCGCAAATTTGCCTACACAATTTATGACGCATCCTGGTTCCAAGAGCCAGTAGGCCTCAACTATAAGGACCTGTAGAACTGTAAAGTAATCCGCATAATTCATTGAGCAAATGAGTGAGCTTGCAAGTTGCGGAGCCACAAACGCCAGATGGTGAGTGCTGCGGTCGCCCCCCCCCTCCCCTTCTGCTGCTTTTGCGGTCTCCAGAGGTTTGGATGTGGCGACAACTTCGACAGCAACTCGCCTTGCAGTTAGTTGCTTATGAGTGGCGGCTGAGTATCCTCAAGGTCCGTGTACCGGACAAAGGGACGTGGCTTGAACTAAGTATTTGCAGGTTCACAGAACAGAAATCTTTTTGAGTGCGCCATTCTGCGTGTTTCATATCGTTTTTGATTTTGTTCACTTATTAATTTTGGATGTTGTTTGCAACTAATTGCCTCATGTAGGCCTCGTTTTCCTCGGGTAATGTTCTTACTGGCTGTGTTTGCTTGCAATGTTAAGGTTCTTATCCACGTTTTTGGTTTACTACGTAGGTTACATTTTAATCATTGTCGAGAAGATGCAGTTCATCTTCAGTAAATTCAATAGTTTGCGAACGGTTGTTAGTGTATACTGCCTCATGATGGCTTTATAAACCCGAAACATGTAGCACACTGCCGTACCGTTAAGATCAATTCACTCATTATACACAGTAAATGTGAAAAATATTTTGATAGTTGTTNTTAATTTTGGATGTTGTTTGCAACTAATTGCCTCATGTAGGCCTCGCTTTCCTCGGGTAATGTTCTTAATGGCTGTGTTTGCTTGCAATGCTAAGGTTTTTATCCACGTTTTTGGTTTACTACGTAGGTTACATTTTAATCATTGTCGAGAAGATGCAGTTCATCTTCAGTAAATTCAATAGTTTGCGAACGGTTGTTAGTGTATACTGCCTCATGATGGCTTTATAAACCCGAAACATGTAGCACACTGCCGTACCGTTAAGATCAATTCACTCATTATACACAGTAAATGTGAAAAATATTTTGATAGTTGTGTTGAGGCGGGAAAACAATAATTAAATTATATTTATATAGATTTACTGGTTGAAAGGAGATTTAATTAACAAGATCAAACAGCAACAGTGACAAATAATTTATCCGGTATGAACTGAATAATGCGAAAATGGGCAATATGCAAGAAATGCTTTCTTTTGTTTTCCTTGGCACTACAGCCCCAGTGGGCCTAGGCCTACCTCCATGAACTTCTCCGTTCACTTCGGTGTTTCTAGATCTTACACATTCAGTAGGACTCCTTGGGCGGGTGATCAGCTCGTCGCAAGGCCTCTACCTGTACACAAACTAAACATCCATGCCCTGAGTGGGATTCGAACTCACGATCCCGGCTTCCGAGCGAGTGAAAACAGTACATACCTTAAACCGCTCGACTACCGTGACCGGCCGCAACAAATGCTTAGACAGGCGAGAAACATGATGTAAATATACATACCAAAACACATAATTAACAATCATTAACAGGGGCCTAGTTAGCAGAGCCGGTACAGTAAGTAAGCTATGGGCTACAGGACCGGGGTTCTACTCCTGGCAGGCACAGTAACTTGCTCTTCGTCACTGCACCGGCTTACCCAGTCTCCCTTCCAACGCGTACCAAAGTGTGAAGCTGGCCACTCGCCTGCATCCAGCCTCTTGTTTGCACATGCTCTGTACTTCCACTGTCCCATATGTCTCGACGCAGTCGGTCTAATTTTGCTTCCTGATGAATGTTCGTTGATAGACGGTGCAACATGGCGGCGCCGAACAGGTTATCTAGCTCTAGGGTTCTAGTCTTTTACTTTGGGGGTGCTGGAGGTGAACCTCCATCTGTTCCTGGCTATACTGACAGGCATTCCGCATACATTCAGATGCCAGGACATATATTAAATAGGCCGTGGTCTCAGCCTTCGGTAAAGGCAAGGTAAACGTAAAGTTGTCCCGCTACTTAAGTAATTAAGGACCATGTCAAGAAGACGTATGTGAGAGTGGATGCGTACATCCTTATTTTCTTGACCTCTGCACTAGTTTCAGGTGAGTAGTAAGCTTCACGATCCGAGGAAAGAACCCCCGATATCCATTGTATAGGAGGCTGGTGGGCCTCAGAACCGCTCGGGACGATGTGCAGAAGAGAACATTCTTGACTCTACTGTTACTAGAACTCCAGACCCTCGGCCGTCCAGCCCGTAGCCAGTCGCTATACCGAATGCGCTATCCCAGCTCCAGACTTACCATTTTGAATCCTTTAAAATTTATTATCTAGTTTTCATACTACAATCTGATACTATATACCCGCAGTACTGAAATGATCGTAAAACAAGGTACACTACAAAATTACGAGGAAAAAAGTAGTATAGAAACATGCTCTGAGAGAT